CGGTCACATATGGTAGGCTACTTTTATTTTATATATGCCGCATTTTGACGAGACTATCCCATTTAGACCCATCAAAATCGGTCAGTTATGGTACGCTACTTTTAATTTAGAATTTTTGTGCGTGAAATTTAAATTAAAATTTCACGCAGTAGAAGTCGCGGGTGAAAGCTAGTAAAATATGTAATGCTATTTCCAACCGACTGCAATGAATAATGCAGTAGTGTGTTTGACACTAATGTACAGCATTTGGCGGAGGTCCAAACGTGTGCCAATACAGACTAAACGGTAGTTAGTAGATATTAATATATTACTACATTATAATAATAATAATAATAATAATAATCTCAGGACAATTCACACAGCGCCATCTAGTCCCAAGTTAAGTTAGCTAAAGCTTGTGTTATGGGTACTAGATAACTGATACAAATACATAGATATTTTTTTTCGTAAATACATACATAATATACATAGAAAATACCCAGACCGATACAAACAATCATACTCGTGAATACAAATGTTTGTGCCGTGCGAGGGATCGAACCCGCGACCATTGGACGTAAAGCGGTGTGCTGGACCGCTATACCACCGAGGTCGCCATCAAAGGGAGATATCTTATTAATATTATAAACGTGACAGTTTGTGAGCATGGATGGACGTTTGTTACTCTTTCACGTAAAAACTACCGTACAAATTTTGATGAAACTTTACAGTAATATAGCTTATACATCAGAATAAGACATAGGCTACAATTTAAGAAGATATTATGTAAATTGGATGAAATATAGTGATAAATGTCAAGTAATTATAATGCAAAGGAAGTTGCAAATGCCGATCCAAACAATCATAGTCATGAATACAAATGTTTGCATCGTGCGAGGAATCGAACCCGCGGCTATTAGAAGTAAAGCGATGTGCTAAACTGCTAGACTACCGAGGACGTCAAAGTATTAGTCAGAATGTGACAGAGTGTTTCAGGCTTTACACTTCGCTAATATTCGTTAATATTACTCCCTAATTATCTTAAAAATGAACCACTTGTGAACAAACTATTCCTCCATGATAGACGTCCAACATATAACCACTATTGTTCGCAATTCAGTAATTTAATTCCGAACCACTGGCGTCCTCTACTATGCGGTTACGAATACTAATGACACGAGAATCGAACCGGTTACCATTAGTTACACCTCAACCCACTGTAATGGTTGTAACCCGTGGTATGTTCCTGCAAACTGACTCTGGCTTCATTTACACCGTATCGTAACAGCATAACCACATGGCGAAATTAGGCCTTAGCGTAACATCAATCTGCAGATTTTCCAAGCAGAAGAGGAAACGCCGCTACACATCCTATGTGGTTGTAGCCCTCTCATGCATAAACGTAATATCTCCTTTGGAAAGTATACACTATATCCTGAGGAAATAAAAACTATCGCTCCTAAGAATATCCTTCAATTCTTGTCCCTCACGGGTCTAGAGAACTTGGAATAAGGGCGAGCACAATAGATCTATACAAGTTGCAGTGTTACAGGTCTTAGCACCTGACAATAGCCCAAACCCCCTGAATAAAAAAAAAATAGCATAGTTGGTAGATACAATATTTTTTTTATTTGAAATGGCTAGACCGATTTTGACGGGACTTTTATTGGCAGGTAGCTGATGTAATAAGGAGTAACTTAGGCTACTTTTATTTTAGAAAAATAAAGTTAAATTCCATGCGGACGAAAACGAGGGAACAGCTAATATATTATACCATCCAGATCTACGTGTTTTCATCAATTAGACATCAATACAGTACAGCGATATGTTACACGTGCCACGCGATAAGAGTTCTGGGAAGGACAGCTACAAGGACTAAGAGTGCCACGTGTAGAAAGTACTAAAAATAAACTAAATATACTGCTCCATTACTAATATTATAAATGCGAAAGTTTGTGCGTATGGATGGATGGATGGATATTTGTCACTCTGTCACACAAAAACTACTGAACTAATTTTGACGAAATTTTACAATAATATAGAATAGAAAAGATCTCTTTCAGAGATCCCACCCTTGCTCACATTTTTATTTACAAACTAGCTGTGGCCGCGACTTCGTCCGCGTGGAATTTAACTTTATATTTTTTTTAAAAGATTTCTTTTTAAATAAAAGTAGTCTAAGTTACTCCTTATCAGCTGCCAAGAAAACTCCCGTCAAAATCGGTTCATCCATTTCAGAGATTAGCCGGAACAGACAGACAGACAAAAATGGTAAAAAAAATTATTTTGGTGTATGTACCGTATTTATATTCATATGCAAGTAGTAAAAAACGGTTATTTCAATATTACAAACAGACACTCTAATTTTATTTATATGTATAGATTCTAACTATGTAATAGTTTGAGAGTTCGCTGCGGTGTGAGTGAGTGATTATAACCGCAGATAACTATGGACTATTTGAGCATTAATTACCGAGTTTAGATTCAACAGCACGCTTCAGCGCTCCCACGTTGCGTGGAGATCGTATCGTTTAGATTGCAGCCGATTGTCAACAAAGACCCGGTTGCTGTATACTATTATAGTTGAAACGGCCGCGATGGTTTACGGCCGGTTTAGCACACGGCTTCACTTATCGCGGTTCGATTCTCGCGAACAGAGTTGTTAGTATGATTGATTTTATTAGTTTTGGTGTTCTATATGTGTTATATATGTACTTGTGTTTAACAAAAAAAAAATGTTTTTAAGTATATTTCTATAGATATATGTATGTCTATCTGGAACCATAAAAATAATAATGTAGAATAATCTTTTTGCAATCGGTTCAGTAGTTTAGGAGTCCATCGCGGACAAACAACGTGACACGTAATTTTTATATATAAAGATTAAACTACATTATTCTTTTCAAAATGCACACAAGTGCAACTTGATCTAACTTGAAAGATAGGATAGCTTACATCTCAATTTATAGTCGCAATATTATTTTATTCAAGAACCTTAGCCACAGAAACGTGTGGCCGGGTCTGCTATATAAATATATAAATTTTGAAACAATAACTCTAGTCTAATAGTATAGCGGATTAGCCCATCGTTTTAGATGGTTGCAAGTTCGATTTATTGCACGGTGCAAACATTTGTATTCATTAGTATAATTGTTTGCACTTGTCTAGGTAGTTTCTATGTATATTATGTATGTATTTACAAAAAATATATATCTAAACATTTATATTAGTTGTCTAGTACCACGACACAAGCTTTGCTTACACTGGGTTTAGATGGAGCTGTGTTAATTATCTAAGGTTATTTATTATTTATCCAAAATAGATACTTTCGAAAAATGTTAGGAATATCATGGACGGAGCGCCGCACTAATGCATCTGTTTTGGAACAACTGGGTATCAGAACCCGTCTCTCTACTGTGTGCTTCCAGCGTCTGCTACCTTTTTTCGGCTACGTGGCCCGCAGAAAACCAAATAATTTGGAAAAAATATAATGTTGGGCCACGTGGACGGTAGAAGGGGCAGAGGTAGGGCACCTGCACGTTGGACTGATCCTGTACGAGAAGCAGTCAAACAAAATATACAGTCGCCGGTCCATTTAGCACAAGATAGAAATGCCTGGAGAGTATTGTTTGGAAGGAGCATTCCTGATGGTCACGACCCTCAGTCTTGAGGAACCGACAAAGAAGATGAATTTATTATTTATAGAAGTTTTTAAGTTCATATAATGCTATAAGAACTGTACTTCTACGCTGTACTATGTTGTGCTGTATAAATGATTATTAATACCTACAAGCTGCCCTCCCGGCTTCGCACAGTTGTACATGTAATACATACATAAACCTTACTCTATCTATTGCTAAAAACTGCATTAAAATCGGTTGCGTAGTTAAAATATGTAAGAGAACAGCAACTTCTTCCTTATCTCATTTATTTGGGGTCGGCGTAACATGTTTTTCTCTTCCATTCATCGTAGAATATATAATATAATATTAATGTGTGAAGCATAAACTTTGTTCCCCTTTTTACGAACATTTTATTGAATTGGACTTTTAATGGCAAGTAGCTGATGTAATAAGAAGTAACTTAGGCTACTTTTATTTTAGAAAAATTCTCTAATTAACTTTTTTGTTAAATTCCACGCGGACGAAGTCGCAGGCACAGCTGGTTAAGTAATAAATAAAATAGGCATATCTATTTTATTGAAGGTCATAGTACATATATCAGCGTTTTTAATCTCTTCTTATCGATTGCATAGACTATTTAATCGCTACATAAATATTATTAGAATTTTTTTATACGATGGTCGCAAAGAATTATACGGATCGTATGATGGTAAATGGTTACCGTAGTGTATGAACGCCTGAAAAACCAGGCGCACGTACGGGGTGTCCGATGGTCTCGGGTTTGAGTCCTCGCGCAGGTATTCGTATTTATGAGTACGATCGCCATACCTGATATGCTTTTACTGAACATAGATGTACTATGTGGCGTATGCTGTTTTTATTCTTGTCTTTACATAGAATAAAAATCAAATAAAATCAAAGAGAAACAATACCATTCCGTTATTATCCCTTAAAAAGAGATAATAACCAAATGGTTTAATAGAATGGTGATAAATTCATTTGGATTTATCATGATGGTTTCCAGAGGGAAAATCCCTCTCTTTGTATATAATGTATGTATTTACAAAAAAAAAACTGTATCTAAGTATTTGCATCAGTTATCTAATACCTATAATACAAGCGTAGACACTTTGGGGAAAAGTTTCTATCTCTTCAGGATAGTGTACTTTCGAAAGGAGATATTTCAGTCTACCTAAAATGTGGCACAGGAAGTAGTGTGTGGGTCACAGAAATGAAAATAATGAAAGTAAGACTTATGTACTTACGCAGTGGGTCTAGCGAGATCGTAATACCGATGTTTTTTGCTTTCAATGGCACTCAATCTAAAATTGCGTGGCACAGGTAGTGGTGTGTGGGTCACAGAAATGAAAATAATGAAAGTAAGACTTATGTACTTACGCAGTGGGTCTAGTGAGACCGTAATACCGGTGTTCAGTATAGAATATTGCACCGTTAACGGCTGTAGCGAACTGATGAGCCAGCCCGCCGCTCACCCATCCTGGTGATATCGACCATTCACCACCCACGAAGACGACAATCGTGGGAGCATCTATCACTGCGAATTCGTCGTTGTAATAGAATCGCTGGAAATTTATACATTTTTTACACTTTCATGTTTTCCAAAACAAAAATTAAGATTCAGGATTCTTCATTTGTAAACGATGCGTGATTACATAAGGTGTTATACATATAGAAGGAATTTGTCCGACGTGTAGCCTAGATGGCATACAACATACTTATGCTACAAAAAATATTAAATTTAAATGTTAAACAATAAAAAAAAAAGAATGATGTAGTAATAATACAAAAACTATTACTGAAGTATATGTAATATAAAACTAACAATAATAATAATAACATTAGTCAATCAACAACCTCTTTAATTTATATCTAATCTAGCTTTTCGCCCCGGCTTCGCCCGGGTATACATTACTCTAGAATAACTCTATGTATTAAAAACAAAACGCTTCAAAATCCGTTGCGAAGTTTTAAAGATTTAAGCATACATAGGAACGGACAGATTGCGACAGCGACTTTATTTTATACTATGTAATGATACAAGACCAAGTGTAATCCCGTTATTAATAATAAAAACAAAACATTAGTCCTTTACGTATTTAGGTAACTTATTTTATTTTTGGTCCCATACATAATATACTGTCATATGTATAATAATAAATAATGTCACATTGGTAATCAGGTTTTAACACGTATAATTTAATAAATTATTAAATTATTAATGTTAAAACTAACGAATTTTATAATAAATACCTTTATTTACTATGCTCCTGTATTTACCATAAAATGTGTAGGAATAAAGACAATATTTTAAGAAAGGTGTTACAAATGAATTCGTATAGATCCAAAAAAGAGATGGATGGAATGTGTGAAAGCTGCAGCCATCAGCATTAGAGTAGTCCGAAAGAAGCTTAATAAGTAAGTTAATTTCTTACCATTTGGAATGTTTCATTGTTGTGTGCCATGAAATGATTCAATCTGACGTTGAACCAGTGTTCATGTACGTATGATCTGGAGTTTGTGTTTGGAGGAGGCGGCTCGACGGTCCGCATGCCCATAGAGGGCGCCACTAGCAGTGCTACCAGAATATACCCTGAAAGTTTTTTTTTATTAATTTTATTTGTTTCTCCATTGTGTTTATTATCACATTTTTTGGATTATGATATTAACTAGTACTTCAGATGCGATTTGATACGGCCAAAGTTTTAATTGTTTAATGTGTTCCTCTCGAGGGGATGTTAAATTACGAAATAAATACATATATATTATATTATTCTCTACCCAAAGGTCGTCTGGAAGAAATCGTTTAAGCGATAAAACCGCCTTTTGTACCTAGATACTATGAATATTGTTTTGTTTTTTGTATTTTTAAGGTGCAATAAAGAGTTATAAATAAATAAATAAAATAATATAAATTATATTTTATATATATTAGTTAGCAGTTAATACTTAGATATATATGAACTTAAATATATTATATATAATTATGCTTGTGTTTCGATCCGTTGTCTATTTTTAATGTATATAAAATTAAACGTTTATACAATTTTTTTGTAATTGTTTATATATATATTGAGGACTTATGTATATTTGAATAAAAATTTAAAGGACAATATATGAATATATATATATATATATACATATATATTTCTATTTAATTTAAATATAATAATGTTGCGATTTTGCATATTTTTATGTTTGTTGATCTTTTTGAGGTTAGCATACCTCGATTGTTAACTGTAAACCAGTTAACAATCGAGGTATGATAACCCTACACACCCTACTTCTAATGGTCGCTGTTCTAATGGATGATAATGGTATGGTTCACCCGCCTGCACTAACAGTTTACACTGGCGGGGCACGAGTGGAGGATGATAAGATGAGCATGAGGTCAGGTCAGTTAGCACATTGTGACAAATTCACCAGGAACTTATCACAATGGCTTCCAGGGCGAACCCCGTAGAGGGCAACCTAAACATGGTACATTGTTAGCAATAGGGTTATCAGTCCACATTACCAATAATACCATTCCAGTGTTATTAGTAATGTGAACTGACAGTTAATGCTAATAATCTCTTCTTATATTAAGTTTATATAAACAATTATGGTAAACAAACTATACTATTACTATTATTGTATTGTAAAAATGTATAATATTAATTTTAAAAGAATACGAGCTAAGTTTCTTGTCAGTTCTTCTATCTCGAAATCATTCCGAACTGACGGTAGATTTGACATATCGTAAGTCTATAATAGACCTACATGAATAAAGATATTTTGATTTTTTTCATATAGTAATAATCCTGGACAATCTATACAGTGCCTTCTAGTCCCAAGCTTGTGTTATGGGAACTAGACAAGTGATAGAAATTCTTACACAAATAATTTTCATCGTACGAGGAATCGAACCCACAACTAGCGCATATAAAACAGTGTGCTACACCGTTAAATCATATCTAAATCATAAAGCCATTATAGCTACAATGTAGCTAATACATCAGAATAGCACAGGCTATAAATATCATGCGAATGCATCTTTGACTTGGTGTAGTGTTTTGAGTAGTCATGCTCACTAAAATGTCCAGACTTGTGGCGGCGTGGCGGGCCGGGTCATTGGGCTCCCTAAAATATGGTCGAGCGCAGTGATGGCTGGCTCATCCGTCATACTCGTGAACTGGTCTGCTCTAATCACTATGACTGATTTGTTATATATATTCAATATTTTTTCTATTTGAGTATTTAATTAAATTAGTGCTAATTGGTGGTTTGTATTCACACACTTAAACTTAAAAATGTAAAGTAATAATAAAATTATTTAAAAGAGCAACACGCAAGTTTCTTGCTCGTTCTTCTTGTGATGAGACAGCTTTCCGAACGAGCGGTAGATTAAAAAATGTAATGACTATTCAAAAGTGCTTCAATGTAAGTTTATTTGAATAAATGATTTTCTATTCTATTCTATTCAAATGAAACCGCGGGCACAGCTAGTATATAATATAATTAAAAGTACTCACACATAATGTTCAGTTCACACAATTATAAATGTTATAACCACATAACATGAAATAATGTTTATTCACGTATTTAGCATATAGACCTGTACCATTCAATGATAATAATTAAAAGATAACGGCCCTATATTGCGATAAGGAGATAAAAAGTACAATTCAATGTTTACAATTATTTTCTATGTATTTGTTTGCTGTAAACCTGTATTTATTTTAATTTTTATATCTAAACAGGCCAGTTTACAATTATTAAGGAACTAGTTGAGCACGCGGTTTCACCTGCATGAAATTTACAGCCATAGGCTATAAATTAATAAAGAATAATATATATATTATTCTGATGTATAAGCTATATTACTGTAAAGTTTCATCAATATCCGTTCAGTAGTTTTTGCGTGAAAGAATAACAAACATCCATCCATACTCGCGAACTTTCGCGTTTACAATATTAACTAGATGTGCCCGCGGTTTCATCCGCTTTAAATTTCAGTATATAAATTTACATAAAAAATATAACCTTTGCGTTATTTTGATGCATAAGCTATATTAGTGTAAAGTTTCATCAAAATCCGTTCAGTAGTTTTTGTGTGAGAGAGTAATAAACATCCATCCCTTTCGCACTAACTAATCTACAACACTCATGAACTTTCGCATTTATAATATTAATAATAAGACCTATATATTAATACTTTTTACGATTGCACCGGAGGTGTATGAAATTTCACACACTTATAATTTACATAAAGGAATGCAGAATGCTTATACTATTATAAAAAAAAAAACACTACCCACACTACCATGTAGATCTTGACACGTACGCATATATACATACTCTTTGGTTTATTATTAAAGTCTGTGGTCAAATTGGGAATAGATTAGTTAGTAATACCACAGATAATATAATATTACATAGTAATACTGTTTTTGTTTAATATTATTTGTCTATAGTCTTACTGAATGTCAAAGATAACCATAATAAATTCACTAATATCGGTCGAATTTCAACTACGGGACGAACACTAGTTTATTTCAACACCATAAAAATTATATAAATAACATGTTTGGATCTAAAACAATTACATCTGGTACCTATATAGAATTGTTACAATGTTAGTTTTTTTTTTACACAGGGGACAAACTAACACAGGGGACAAACGAGCATGTTGTCGGCCTTTTAAAAAGTAATAAGCTCACCTGATGATTTTGTTGAAATTATATATGTAATTAATACCTATTTTTATACTCCTAAGTAACGTATTGGTAACATAAATTTATTGGCAAAAATTTTATTTTAATAAGTTTATGATTTGGCATAAAGTCCTCGAGTGGCGACCACGGACCGGAAGACGCAACGTTGGGAAGGGAATGCCTCCAGCAAGGTGGACCGATGATCTGGTCAGGATCATTGGAAGGCGATGGATGCGAGCAGCGCAGGACCGATCGTCGTGTAGGGGGGAGGTCTATGTCCAGCAGAGGACGTCTTCCGGGCTGAAATGATGATGATGATGATGATGATTCAGCATTAAAAATCACATACAACTCTGTATCACCTTTATACCATTCTATACCTCTTTTTTTCAGACTACTCTAATGCTGTTGGCCGCAGCTGGCTTTTACAGCTTCACTGAACGATAGAGGGCGAGTTCAGATGGCACTCCAAACCCGCGGAAGGACTTATGGAGCGGCTGAAGGCCAACTCCCGCCTGACGGATACGACTTTAGTCTGAGGGCACCACTAGGGGTTCGAACCTCGGCTCAGGCCGTCGTAATATCGATCCCCGTTTGAATTGGACGGGGGATCGATCAGAGGGGGATATTAATTTATATGGCAAAACAACGTTTGTCAGATCAGCAAGTATTATTGTAATATTCATATATATATACAAAGAAATCCCAATCAACCGGTGACTGCGGAAGATATTATTGAAATATATTAATAATAATTGATATTTTAGCTTATATTCTCATCACACCTAAATGCTACGAAAATATCAAATGTCATGACAATCTTTTAAGCTGTTGATGCATGAAAAACTAACTGATGTCCGCATTTTTATTAGTTAATATTGAAATTGCGATGTTTTATGTCAATTGATAAAATGAGCAGGTTATCGCCGATGTTATCTAATAAATATATTAGTCTATCTTCGAACAATTTGATATCTTTTTGTGTATATTCAAATAGTTTGAATGGATTCTACTAATTATTGTGATAACATTGCCAACAAACTGTTCTGCAGTTTGGCGAGTCATTGTATAAAATATGTACCTATTATTATTAATTCAAATTAAATAATCATTTATTCATGAACGATAATTTTTATTATTATTGTGTACGGCTCGTTTTAGGAAAGGAAAAAACTAATATAAAAGCTGAACAGAAAAAAATGATTATTGCAAAATTTATGAATATATATAATGACACGTAAAAATACGACATTCTCTCTTTTCAAAAAATTGTTGAGGTTTTATGTACAAAACTTTTCAGAAAAAAGAATTGTACATAAAACCTCATCAATTACAGTTTTCCCTACCGTCCATACAGATTCAATTAAGAACAACTGGCAAGAAAGTCCATTGAATTTTTTATGATAATTATTTTTTTAAAAAGCTAGTTTATTCACAATGTTTATTTATTTTGTATTGTGCATGAACGACTATTGCCATGCACTCTCATTAGTCAAGTAATCGTTTAGTGAGTAATAAGCTTTGCTTAGTAAATATGATTAACTGATGTTTTGAATTTATTTTAAGGGTAATTCCAGTATTAAATGAATAAATAAAAAATGCTGATTTTTAAGCCTAATACAGGATAGACGAATTCATTGATGACAACATATAAATAATTAGTTTATTAGCATACAACGTTATTATTTATTTAACTCATTGCTTTCTTGATTTCATTATTTTAGCAATATGAAAGCATAGCGGTTTTTGTATTGATTGCCGCATGCATTTTTATGTAAAATGTGAATACTATAACTATCAGATGGCAATTGTGAGTAGCTATGACGTGGTCTGGTGTTTTGAGTAGTCATGCTCACTAAAATGTCCAGACTTGTGGCGGCGTGGTGGGCCGTGTCATTGGGCTCCCTAAAATATGGTCTAGCGCAGTGATGGCTAGTTCGTCCGTCATACTCGTGAACGGGTGCTGCAGGAGACTGGTCTGCTCTAATCACTATGACTGATTTCTTCTTATTAATTGTTTAACCAGTTGTGGTGTATTCAATATATTTTCTATTTGATTATTTAATTGAATGAGTGCTAAATTGTAAAGTAAGAATAAAATTATTTAAAAGAGCAACACACAAGTTTCTTGATCGTTTTTCTTGTGATGAGACAGATTCCGAATGAACGGTAGATTAAAAAAAATGTAATGACTATGCAAAAGTTTATTTGAATAAATGATTTTCTATTCTATTCTATTATTCTATACTGCGCTGACTCTGTCTGAATTTGGCAGAGTGGTGAGCTGGCAATGTGGTATGTGTTGCCATCCATCCATATAAAGAAAGAAGAAAAGAAATAAAGAAAATACTTTAATATGATACTCATAAAATATGCAACAATAATAATTTTTAATAACAATTTGGATCATTATGGTACCAATTAGCTTTTTTTTTGTATATGTTAATGAAATGGTGCACCCGCCTGCGCTAGCGGTTTACGCTGGCGGGGCACCAGTGGAAGATGATAAGATGAGAATGAGGTCAGGTCAGTTAGGACATCCTGATAAATTCATCTGGAATTTATCAAATGGTTTCCAGGGGGAACCGCGTGGAGGTCAACCTGACGTGGTACATTGCTAGCAATGGGGTCGAGAGTCCACATTACTAACAATCCCTTTCCCCCTACCAATTAGGTTGAGACCTAGAAGACGATGAAGAATAAATGTTAGCGGATTCTCAGACCTACCGGATATGCACACAAAATTTCATACAAATCGGTAAAGCCGTTTCGGTGGAGTTTGGTAACGAGTCCGTGATAAGTGGTCTCGGACAGTATT